CTTGCCTTGCATGCATGAGGCCCTGGGTTTGATTCCTCAGCACCACATAAGCAGAAAAAAAAAGCCAGAAGTGGCGCTGTGGCTCAAGTGGTAGAGCACTAGCCTTGAGCTGAAGAGCTGAGGGAGGGACAGCACCCAGGTCGAGTTCAGGCCCTATGACCTACCAAAAAAAAATGCAGGTAGTCTTATCACTTGAACCATGTCTCCATCCCTTTTTGTTTTAGCTTAGTTTTCAGACAAGGTCTCACTCTTTTGCCTTGTCTGGCCTAGGACCACAATCTGCCTACCTCCACCTCCCAAGGAGCTGGGACTACAGCTGTGCACCTCCATAATGTTGTTGTGCTTTTAAATGATAGGGTCTCTTTTATTGTTGTTTTTGTTTTTGGTGGGTCATGGGACTTGAATTCAGGGCCTAGTCTCTCTTTTGCTCAAGGCACAGGCTTGGAACCACAGCACCACTTTGTTTTCTGATGGTTAATTGTAGATAAGAGTCTCACAAGCCGGGCGCTGGTGGCTCATGCCTGTAATCCTAGCTATTCAGGAGGCTGAGATCTGAGGATCGTGGTTCAAAGCCAGCCCAGGCAGGAAAGTCCGTGAGACTCTTATCTCCATTAAACCACTAGAAATCCGGCAGTGGCGCTGTCGCTCAAGCCATAGAGCGCTTGCCTTGAGCTGAAGAGCACAAAGACAGTGCCCAAGCCCAGAGTTAAAAAAAAAAAAAAAAAGTCTCACAGACTTTCCTGCCTGGGCTTCAAACCCTGATTCTCAGATCTTAGCCTCCTGATTAGCTAGGATTACAGGTGTGAGACACCAGTCCCCAGCTGATAGGTCTCTTATTAATTCAAGATCCAATTGCCTCAGCTTCCCCAGTGCTAGAATTACAGGTATGCAGCACTGTACCAGACTCAATACATGTTATGGCTTGTGAATCAATGTATGTGGAAATGTAATGAAGGAGATTCCTTTCTGAAATATAACAGGCAGAGAATGAATCTGCTTGCTCTCAGGGCTCCTGGTGTCCTAAAGTACTGCCTGCTGCCACTAAGGAACTAGAACCAAGATCAGGGATCTGCTGTCACAGGCCTGAACCAACTTCTGAAAGTTTCAAGTATGAATCCGAAGTTACAAATTAGAGTGGGGGAAAAACTAGCTGCTGTTTTCTAGAAAATGCTGACATCACAGGAAATTTAAAAGAGGCTGCTAAAAGCACACCTGGTGGCTCACTTATGTAATCCCAGATACTCAGGAGGCTGAGATCAAAGAATCACAGTTCATAGCCAGCCAGGGCAGGAAAGGCTGTGAGGCTCTTATGTTTAACCACTAAAATGTCAGTAGTGAAGCTGTGGCACAATTGGTAGAGCTAGCCTTTAGCAAAAAAGTTCAGGGATGGAACCCAAGCCAGGAGTTCAAGCCCCAGGACCAACACACCAACCCCACCCACTCACCCTTGGATTCCACGCAGAAGGGAATGCATGAGTTACTTAACCAGTATTTACTGAGTTGGAGATGCAGGAGGCTCTCGGGTGTAGAGCAGGTTTTGGACAAACAGGGTGCAGGGAGAGGCCTGCGGGATTTCCAAGACTCTGAATTCATTACTGATTAGCTAGAGAAAAGGGTCCAAGAGAGAAGTCCAATGGACAAGCCCCCCCCCCCCCGCCCCCGAGTTCCTGAAACAGAACAGGGCCCAGGTGGCGTTTGCGAACGGTTCCGGTTCCGGCGCCCGGGGCCAGGCTTGGCTCCATTCCCACGATCCCGCCTGCTCCAAGGCAGGCAGACTAACAGACTCCCGCCAAAGCTCAACAACTTAAGACTCAGCGGACTGAGCTCCCGCGACGGTGGCCAGGGAGGTTAGGAGACGCCGGCTTAGGAGCTGGGACGCGCTCAGAGAGACCCAGAGCCAGGTAGGCGCGGGCTGCACGCCAACGCGACGCGCAGGCCCCGCCCCGCGGCGCGCGTAAGAGACGGGGGGGGGGGGAGGAGGAGGAAGAGCGGAGGGGTGGGTCCTCAGGCCGGCAGGCCCGCCGATTGGCCAGGGACGACGCGCCCTCTGCCCTCACGCCGACGCCAGCGCACTCTCCTCCCGCTTTTTCCTACACCCCCTCCCCCAGCGCCGGCCGCTGGAGTCCCACCCGGTCCGTGTGCCCGGCGCTTGGCGGAGCCGGGACCTCCGACCCCTGTCAGCGTCCCGATTCCCGCCCCTCACCATTTCCGCACTTTCTCGATGGCCGCCATCACCTTCTTGATGTCGTCCTTGGCCCGGCTGCGGGTCTCGGCCCGAACCGACCGGCCCGACATGGCGGCGGCGGGAGCGGCGGGGGCCAGGACACTGCTCCCAAGACGCGGGGAGTCTCGCGCCTCACGCGTCGCCGCCGCCGCAGCGTCA